GGAATGCTTTTCATGTTTAATAGCTAATTTTATTAAAATAAACAAATAATATGACAAAAAATGAATGTATCAATAATTCCATTCTTATCAATATACCTGTATCAATAATACACAAGTACATGAAATCATAGAATGAGTAATATGCGCTAATATTATCTGTAGTAAAGTATTGATAAGAAAAATATTTTTTTAAATCCTTTTGTTGTGCAGTGTTGTTCTTCTATCGTTTTGCGATGTATATCTTGCTATTTTGACTACTTTCTTCTCCTTTAAGTGCCATTTCCGCGACGAAGGTTGGCAATCTTCATGGCTATTCTGACCGTCGAGGCAGCTGCTCTGAACAATTGCCTTGAGCTGCAACCAAACCACTCTCTCAGGTTCTTCAACCAGGAAACTCGTCTTTTTCCTACGCTTCTCCTACCCTCTATTTTTCCTTGAATTATGAGTCTCAAGATGTTGTATCTTTCGTCTCTCATCACATGTCCGAGATATTGCAATTTCCTTTCTTTTATTGTATTTTCCATTTCCCTCTCTCTGCCTATTCTCCTTAACACTTCTGTATTCGTGACTCTATCTACCCATGGAATACTTTTTCTGTTACATTTTCTGCCAATGTCTTTACTTCTTTTTCGCCCTCAACGTATATCCTGTAATGTTTCTTCTTAACATTCTCATCACTGTCGTTTTTAATAGGTTTTTTGTTGTGGCTGTAATGGATCTTATTTCTGATGCATACTTTCTAATGGAAAATGATTCTTTCTATCAACTGAACTTGCTGGTTATTATTTCCTTGGCTAACTCTCCTTTTAGGCACACTCAGACATTTTCAATGGGGTTCAGGTCTGGTGAGTTGCCAAGCCATTGTAAGAGTGGAATTTCTTGTTCTAACAAAAACTTTTTAATACTTTAAGCCAGATGGCAAGGTGCTTCGTTCACTTGTGGAACCAATGTTGTCTGCAAAACCCTTTTATATTGGTTTCTTCTACGATATACAAACATCTCATATCTTTGCCATTAATCACCGACCATATCATTACTGAGGTAGGATGTTTAATTGTATTAATTACACACCCGTTTTCATATTTTTCCCGCTGGACGTCTTCGGACAAACTGGGCCTTGTCATCCATAATTTAAAATGTGGCTTCATCGCTGAAGCAAACCTGTGAATGTGAATAACAATTATAAAGTGCGAAAATAAAATGATTTGTAATAATTTACCTTACGCCAATCATCAAGGATCTTGGCCCAAGCTAAGAGTTTTTTGGTGTTAGTTTTTGCTTCTTAAAAGGCCTGCGATATTTGAAGCCCATGCCATACATATTTCGGCGTACGGTGGCCATTGATGCTGAGCATCCTGCTTCTTCCAACCTATTTCTTAAATCTCTATGCCCTGGGGGTCACTGAAAAATATAAAATAGTTACTCCACACTTTGAGCACATTCTTCTGTCATCTGTAATGTTTGACAATTCTAAGAAAAATCTATACCATTTTCTACGTAGCTATATACCCAATAGTTATGCAACCTATTCAACACCTTAGTATGCAAGTGAACATACTTTCCGTGAGATTGAAATCAAAAACAACTGAAATTTTTATGGTGAATATAATAAATTGAGTAGTGACTGTATATCTACACACAAAAGAATTCCATCTTTGGGTGTGACTAGATCGAAAGCTTTCTTTAATGAAAGATGGAGCAAAGTATTAAACAATTTTTAAAATTTTTTGTTTTTTTTTTCCGGTTCTAACGTCATTTGTTATCTCTCTTTAGCAAGCTTCTTTAGATAGTCAATGTTTCTATCCTTTTCCATGTGTTTCGGGGTCTATTAGTTCTTTCATCTCTGTACGTCCTCCTAAACGCCTTATTTCCTTTTTGTAGATCATACAAGCATGCTCATTTTTTTTAAACGTTCTAGTGATCTTTTTAATTCGTCTTGGAGAGAAAAATGAATGTATGTAGACGGAATTAAGCTAATATTCAAAATTGGCGTCCACACATATTGAGCGAAAAGGAAGGAGTATTCAGTTAACATTTTCATTCTAAAAGCGATTAAAGATTTTTCTGTGCTTTCTAGTACATAATATAACGCCATCTATAAACCGAATTTGAAATACGATGTAGTCTATTTTCTGTCATCTAAAGTAGATGGCGTCATTTAGCAACTCCAGTTTGTCAAATGGGAACAGTCCCGCCTTTCTCTGTCCGAGTGTCCTACTCCACTTTGTAGACATTTAAGTTGTAATGGACCTACTCGAACTGCTGTTTAGATAGCAAAATCCGCCTTGTGTGAATTACAATTTTCTTTCTAAAAGTAATATACCCTTTCGGGTCCCGCCTTCTCTATCCGGCCGTATGTTCGGTTCTGACACGAACTGATGATTTCTCAATAAAGGCAAAACGTGTCATGATTTTTATAGAAAAAAGGCAGGCGCTTATGTTTTTTGTGCACAATATGCCACCCTATATAAAATGAATGTTAGAAATTTGTTTCTAGAAGATAAAAGTATTCTAATATATGTAATTTGTATTTAAAAAATGTTAATTCGTGTCCAAGACCTTTGTGATTATTTGTATAGACATGAAACACATTCCTTAGTTGTAAATTGTGCACACACCCCATATCTCGATTAATAAAAACAGTCTTTTATTTAATTTGTGGAATTTTTACCAAGTTAACACACCGTCTTCGTCTACTCAGGTCAAACCATATTTAAAACAATTACCACTGCATGACTGCCGTTTTTCAAAATGAGTTAATCGATGAAATATGATAATACGTCCAGGCAGCTATTAGAGTAATAAATTTAAGTAATCCTTTTAGGTTCACGATGTATCAAGACACATATGTCGAACGATACATGCATTGTGCAAATCATTTTTGAAATATAATTATTTTTCGTCTTTTGGTCAACGCTCCAGCATGTCTACTTTAGAACTTAATGGTACCTTCTTGGAACACAAATATAAATAAATGGCTTGATTTACGCACTGCCGGAATTAATTTTTTAATGATATTTAGATACTTTCAAAGATATGAAAAAAATGATAAAAGGTATTTTATTAAAAAAAGTGTACCCAATACTGCAAGTTTTAATCTTACGTGAATCACCCTGTATATTTATATTTTTGTCAGCAAAAAATTTAGGCGTCGCTGCCTATATTATAATTCTCCAAATACCGCCAAAAACAATTATAATGTATTAAAAGATTTCCACAATGTATGTTTTTTCCAAATTTGGTTTAAGTAACGGAAGTGTTGTAGTTGGGAACCGTGAGAAAGGATAGAACCTTTTAGATTAGGTTCTTTCAGAAAGATACTGTAAAGAGCTTTTACTACTGTGTTCACCAAAAGGACCCGCCTGGAACCGAAAAAGGTTAACTAAGCTCTACCATATAATATTCTACTTCGGCCTCTTTTGATGAGTACGACCTATCCGAACTTGGAGAACTCCGTATGTTCCAATAAAATTTGATAAGAGTGAGAGAGCCCATCCGTATATCTATTTGTGGATACGGCCATGGGCTTGTCAGCAACAGGGGTAAAGGGATTAAAAATTATTTTCAATTTTAATTATAAAAAAATGTTGCGATGCATCTTCAGGTTATAAGGTACTTGGTAAATCAAATGAATGTTTTAGAAAACATAGTTCAAAATATGTTTTCTAAAACATTAAATAATAATCCTTTTATCTTTATGAAGATGCATAGAAACATTATAGTATGCGAAACTGGTCGTTGGGGATAGAATGAATTGATTATGAGTAAGTCTTATTCTTATTTCTTTTTACCTATTTGTAATAGACTCACACAGGCAACATATTCAAGATTTGAATACTATAAACGTTTTGAGTTTCCTTTGTTGAACCGTTCCGATATTTGGGATTGGATTCCCTCATTCCCGATTGAAATGAGGGATCCAACGGGAAATTAACTTCGTAAAACCCAGTTCTTGTTGCAGGATCTTTTGAATCGAGGTCTTTGAAATGCCCGAAGATGCCTCTATCTCCCAGTATGTTACACGGCGGTCGTCCTTAATTAGCTGAAGAACCGCATCAATGTTTTACTATGTGACTGCTGTTTTGGGTGTACTTCGCCTGGATTCGTCGCTTAGACTAGAGCGACCACATTGAAAGTCGCTGTACCTGCGAGCAATAGTTGACTGATATGATGCTTCATTCCCAAAAACAGAAACCATTTCAGCGAGATATTGCTGTTGGGATAATTCTCTCCGATAATTTAAAAAAATGCGCAAACACTACTTGTTATATCACAAAGAAAATCTCGATTTAAGTCAACAAAAGATTGAGGTTAGGTTTGTGTTGGAAGGTTTAATTGGTGGCGCCCTCTAAACAGCTATTTGCAAAGTTAAAAAAGACACTCGTACCTGCCGAATTTATTGAGGCCTTGTACCAGGAAGGCAAATGAAGAAAAATTGGGTTGAACCGTAATGTAACTGTTCGTGGAAACTATTTTCTTTACTTTTTAGCCATTTGTATATATAAGTGAGTTTACTCATGCTTTCTTATTCAATACCAAATAAAGCGTATATAACCCAATGTTGTTGAAACCCTTGGGGAAGAATCAGCATTTCTCTGTCAGTTATTGATCAGGATGTTGTCAATCCATGATATTACTTTGCACACATATAAGTAGCGATAATATTCGTAAAATTATAGCAAAAAAAGAGGATTGATTAAAGTTTATTACTCTATTATGTGTCTACATAAAGCATAAAAGATTCAAGTAATTAAAAAAAATACTAAATAGACAGAAATAACTTTGAAAAACGGTTAAATATTAGTTTAGCTTATCTGTTTCGCGTTTTTCTTAATTATTTCTGTATATCTTCATCGTCTATTATAACAACATAGTCCATCATCAACCACGATCTTTTCTAAAACAAACTCCTTGACACCCAAAACATATACACATTAACTGGCGACGAAAACAACACCTCTTTTGGTACGTTTATATAAATCGTTTGTTTACTTTTGTAGCCGCACAAGCGCTTCGCCAGCAGCCACCAGGCAACAGGCCTTTCCCAGAAACACTTCCTCGAGGAGCACCTTCCACTCGGGTCAGACTAGGCCAAGGGCGACGTACGCCCAGGGCGCTCCAGGAGACTCTCCACACACGAGACCTTCGTTTTTTTCTAAATTCAGCCTGAAGGGCTTCACAAAAAGGTAAGTAACTTCTTGTTTTGATGATTTGTGTGTTGGATAGTGTAAACGGTGAATCTGAATTTGATACTTTTACAAAGAAGCTTGAATTGAGTATTTGCTCTATGTACAATTTTATAAAAATGTTATTTTCGAAAGGAAATGGTTAGAATTGCAAATTTGAATTATTTAAAAAAAAACTTGAAATTATTCGTTATAGTCCAAAAATGATATTTTTCTTTTAAAAAATTACTGATTTTCAATTTATTGGATTTTAGTGTATTGTACTGGTTCGTTATTTAGTTCATAATTTCTCAGTTTCCAGCGTCATATAATGCCTAGCATATAAATGCCAAAACCTAATCATAATACGAGTAGTATGACATTGATTATTGCGTACATTTTTCGTAGTTCGAGGATCTTTATCTTATACCAGCGTTAAAGGCTATAGCGGGATAAGATGGTCATAAGTGCCCACGCACCGATCAGCATCGCGACTTGTGTATATAAAAACATGACTTCTTACAAATTTTTAGCTTCACAGAGACCATAGAATCTCTTAAATCTAAAAAAGAAGCTTTTTTCGACTTTATTTTTTTCTGGACGCAATTTTGCTTTAAAAAATCTGAAAAAATTCATGAAGATTTCGAATATATTCAAATCATTTCAAATTTTTATCTTGAAAATTGAGCCTAGGAAAAATTATGAAAATTTTCAATAATTTCTTAGGTTATGTTAATAATTTTTGGCTAACTTTTAAATAGTATTTTTTATGTATTTTTTTTTCGTTCTTTTGAATGGCCAAGGCAAAATTTTCAATTTCTGAGAAGACAGCATCAATAAATAATAAAAAAAACCGTTTTTTTTACTCATTTATTTGCACATACCTCAAAACTCAGTTGGTAATTCAACATTTTTTCTTCCACATTATCAAATTCTATTGTAAAAGTTCACATTTAACTCTTTCATAAAGATAAAATTCGAAAATAAAGCACCACATCTCAAATGATTCCAACTTCTTTATATTATCCACTTTTGTCCAGCTTCCCATTCCATACAACAAAGTCGAGAACATTTAGCATCTTAAGGCTCTTATCCTCAGCTCCAGAGGAAGGTCTCGATTAACAAACATTGTTTTCATTTTTATAAATGCTTGTCTTGCAATTTCAATGTGTGTCCTTATTTCTCTACCTTGGTTATTCTTTTCATTTACCCAGGTTCCCAGATATTTGTAGTTATTCACTTTTTCTACTTGTTTTCCCTCGATATCTAGCCTTCCTATTGTATGTTGTTTAGAAATAATCATGCACTTGGTTTTCTTAACGTTCATTTGTAGTCCAAATTTTATATTAACTTGATGTAATTTATTTACTAAGCGTTGCAGTGCTTCTAGACTGTCTTCAAAAACAGCGGTGTCGTCTGCGAATCTTTTGTTGTTCAAGATTTTTCTGTTTATTGATATACCCTGTTGTTTCTCTGATATCGCTTCCTTAAAAATATCTTCGCTGTACAGATTGAATAACAATGGGGACAGCACGCAACTTCTAAATCTGTCTTAGACCTCTGTTGATTTCTATAGTTTCTGTATAGACATTTTCGATTCTAACCTTTGTTTTTTGATTCCAGTACAGATTGACAATAACCCGTATATCTCGACTGTTCACATCCTTTTTTTTAACAGTTTTACGAATTTCTTATGTCATACTCTATCAAAAGCCTTTTGCTAATCTATAAAGAAGACATAGAGATCCTGGTTCATATCTAGTCGTTTGCGCGAGAACGTTAGAAGCGAACAGAGCCTCTCTCGTCCCTAGTTCTCCACTGAATTCAAACTGGGTCTCATCGATATATTCTTCTATTTTTTTGTATAGTCTTTTATGTATTATTTTTAGATTTATCTTAACTGTGTCGCTTATTAAGGCAATTGCTCTGTACTGGGAGCATTCTGTCTTATGTACTGACTTTGGTAATTTTACAAACGTGGACAGCAACAAATGTTTGGGTATTAATCCTGTTTTATATACGTTGTTAAACAGATCTAAAAGTTTATGCAGTGTTTCTTCGTGAATGCATTTAATTAGCTTGGAACATTGTGTTCATTATTGCAAAATGTTCAATTTGACAAAAATCCATAAGTCTATCCCTTCTTTCGTTTCTGTCACCTAGTCCAAATTCCCCAACATATTCGTCAACCAGAGACGAATTCTTCTCAATTCAATATCTTCATATTTTCCCTAGTCGTTGCAGTGTAGCAAAGCTGCCATCTATTATGCAAGCCATGAACAAAAACAATTTAATAATTATTGTTTTCTGCTCGTTGCTCTTATCGAAATGTACAACATAAATCTTTCATGACTCTCTATGACTCAAGAGCAGGACGCCTTATTTGTATTTTCTATTTGAATTCACAAAACAAGTGTGTTTAAACTCAAATCCAGATACCGACAAGACGTTTGGAAAATTCAACTTTGTTTTGTAAAGAACTCTGTATAAATTTCTGCGACATCGCTAGATTTCCAAACGCCGTGAAAAATCTGCACCACTATCACAGGCAGTGCCTCGAATATTTCTTATTTTTATATGCACATAAACGGTCTCAAATGTATGTCTATTCTCTATCTCTCTCTATTATCACTTTCATTTCTTGATTCAATTTTCTAGTGCTCTTTGAGTTTCTGATGCTAATTATTAAGGGTACCAAGTACTTCTGTCACTTCTCCAACAAATATTGGCTGTATTGTGTTGTTCTGCTTGTCGATAGCATTGTCATATTCGATCTTGTTCATATTACAAAGAGGCGTCACTATGAATAGGTGTAGTCTGTCTATCTTTGAACTGCATGCATATTCGTCTTTATGGGTTTGCTAATCAACGACTTGTGTAACTAAAATACGCCATAAATGAACAGTCAAGTAAGAAAATGTTCAGTAACGTATATATGAGAATAAGTAAAACATTGAACTGCTTGTTTAATCATAATTTTATTTGAGTAAAGAAATATTTTACACAATGGAACAATTTGGCTAATGAACAAGTGTTCTTCAATGCCGAAACAACTCAAATCTGATATTGAAGTGAACGGTGGCTAACTAAGGTTATGTTCTATGAATAGACACTTTTGTTTTTACTATTATATGCGTTTATGTGTAAAAAAAATAACTTAAATGACATTAATAATTTATTTTTACAATTTTAACACTCACAAGTTATTTAGCTCAAACGTCATATTTCTAGTACATAATGTGTAGGTAAAATACTTCATTAATCACTCTAAATACATTACAATAAATCTTAACAATATTTACCCATTCATATACGAAAGAATGACTAAATTTAATTTTTATCTTTAAAAGCGAAGAAAAACTGCTTCAACCATATCAAATTATACATTGAACAAATTTGTACATTCATATAATATTTTCGCCATAACAAATAAACAACTTGGTGATTTTGGTTCATTTTTTACACTATCCAGGTACAACTACCACCTACCTTTCGCTTACACAGCTTTCTATGTATAATACACTAACACTATCCTTTCCTGGTTGCTTTTTGTTGTATATTGTCTGCTTTGAGCAAGTCACTGTTATTACATATCTTAATATTACATGTATGCTTCTATTGGTCATTGATTTATTAGACAGTTTAATTTTTAACACAGTTTCTGTCATCACAGAGAAATGATGATAACCAAAACTCCGATTAAAACTACAATTTTTGATTGACATGCTTTGTATATTGTGTTTGGTTATCATTAATTTCACTAAAACTTCTGAATATGTTGTTGTATAAACTAGACAACTGTGCAATATTTAAAAGATAAGACTTCTTGTTAAATCGTTACAACCAGTCAAGTTAAAGGAGTTATTAAAGTAGAAGAAGAGCAGCAGGGGCATATGAAAAAGAACGAAGCGTACTGTAGAAGGTAGAGAATATAGCAGAAAAAAAGCTAATGGTCCTAACATTCTTTTTGTGTGAACAGTCAATAATGTAAGACATGTTTGAAAGAATACTTGATATAATACAAAATATATTTAGAATAGTTACATAGTCGGTTAGCAATTGTGAATGGCATCCTATAACACAATTAGTCACCGAATTGTAATAAACTTCTTTACTGACTTTAGAAAAAATATTTCTCAGCTGTGCTTCAGCATTCTGGTCTCTTATACGAGGTCTGTACAAAACTATCCTGTTTTCGGTCATAACTTTGCTAGACTTTGTTTTTCGTCATCTATCTCGTGGCATCCTCCAAGTAGCATTCGTCCCTTTGGACGTAACAATATGATCTGATGGGTGCTGTAAGTCATTGAAGCAGTTTTGAAATTCAGTTTGTGCAATTGCAATTAGTACCATTCGCATCGTGGCATTCGTTTGAATAAAACGAGTTGCTTGAATCGTTTTCCTTTAAGGAGCATTTCAGTTTTGGAAACTGGATCTCAGAGTTGCTTTGTGTGGACTGTACAGATACTGGCAGTGTAGTGTTTCGCCAAAAAATTGCACATGGTGATAGTCGCTGTAATATATTTTTTTATATATATACCAGGGTGATGTCTAACCGACAAGACGAGTGCTAAGTCTCCTTCTATAGAGATATTCCAATTTCATTTTTTATTGTCATCTTTGACTAGCAATAAAGAAGCATTCAGGTATAATTTCAATATGTTATCTTCGCATCATTACCCGCTGGATAAGTACATCAACTAGATGTGCCAACTTGAGGTTTCCCTGCACAAACTAAATGCGTATTTTCAAGTTCCTATTACTCTATGTTGAACTCCTTTATTGAAGAAGGAATATAACATAGATTCGCTTACGTTTACATATATTTCTATAAGTTTATGTATTCCACAGTATACTGTGGTCGTTTTTTTTTGTATACCTAGATCATTGCCTATAAATGCCAACATAATCTATGTAACAAAATTTCTATTAGAGTATCCACAGAGCTATATCATATATCTACCGCCGACATACCAACTACAAGCTTCACTGCAGCATTTGCCTATAATGCCAAGATATTA